TGCCGTAAAGTTAATTGATAAGGAACAGGAAAAGGATTTTAAAATTGAGGAAGCTCAATTGTCTAAGCTAGACCATAAAAATATTGTCAGACTGCTGGCCACATGTCGAGATAAAGAAAACCTATGGCTGGTCATGGAGTTGGCAGAGGACGGCAGTCTATATAAGGGTAGGCCTTACCATAACTTAACTTAATTTAACCTAACCTAAACTAATATACCCTAATATAATCGAACATAGCCTAATCTAACATAATATGATAAAAACCATAACTAACAATCCAGTATTAATTTTAAATTTAATAATGTTATGTCCAGTGGTGCATAAGTCTAACCCCCAGGTGTCGTACAGTGTGTCTCAGGCGCTCCAATGGCTACATCAATGCGCCCGTGGAGTCGCTTACTTACATTCAATGGTACCTAAAGCTATCATACATCGTGATCTAAAATCTAAAAAGTATCTAGTAAAATTAATGTTATTCTTAAATTTAAATATAATATTTTTATTTATAATTCGTTTGCAGTGTATTACTGTTCAATCGGCTAACGGAGCTCAAAATTTGTGACTTAGGCAACGCTCGCGATATGACTATCAATCACAGTATGACTCAAAATACGGTACATTTAATTTATAACTATTATTTATATATTAACAAAAAATATATTTATAAAATACAAAAATAAACTTAAATTTTGTTTTCACCCGAGCAATTTCGCATAGCCATGCATGCTCATTTTCATCTGTCACTAATACAGTAGAGTTAATTTATTATATTTGCTATTATACTGTATATGAGAGGGAACATTCTGAATCATTCGATGTGTCTGTGAAAGCAAACTGTAAACTCAAGTATTTACATAATAGTATATTATATCCAAATTAATTACTATATGATATTAAACAAGGTTTGCAGGCAATGCTATAGAAACCCACATTTACAGTTAATCTAACATAGAATCTATTATAATGTAATAAATTATAGGTATCTATCGTCAATCCATGTCTATTCATTGAATTAAATTTCTCAATATTTAATAATTTATAAAAATTACTTGAATAGAATGTCAGAATTGGGCCATAATAATAATTTTATCTTTTAATTCCTTTAGAGCAAATCTTTCTATATCAAATAATAATTTATTAAATAAATTTAATAAATTATTAACATTTCTTTATAGGGATAAAACTAAAGCGTACATAAATGCGTAATAGGTAACACCATGCATTGTTACTTTAATTATACAAATACAACGAGCACATAATCATTAATCTCTGACGAATCAAACGGCCCTTATAAGGGCCAACTTGTTACATTTTATTGAATCCTAACTAACTTTGTATACTATACAATATTATACTATATTATACTATAAATATTAACTGGGAAAACAGATAGTCTACATATGGGAAAGGGTATCAGTAAATTCGATTAAAAATTAGACTAAAAATCGGATTAAAAATTAAATAATATAGAATATAATTTTTGTTTTAAAAGTATATTTCACATTAAAAAAATAATTTTGATTCTATATTAGCTTAAATGTAAATGTGGGTTTCTATTGAATTGCTTTGCTATAGAAACCCACATTTACAGATAAGCTAACATAGAATCAATTATAATGTAATAAATTACATATATTTATCGGTAATCAATAAGCATATAAATGATGTATTATCACAATTAAAATTGTGTTTTGAATTAGTTTATAAACTAAAATTAGTGAGACTGGATATCCATCCCATAGACTTAACATGGGATTTAGTGGGATATTC